ACTACAGCTCCCGGCGTGCCCCGCGGCCGCCCCGCCCCGGCGGGCTGGTGCCCGGGGCACGCCGGGAGCTGTAGTTCGGGGCGGGCGGGAGACGAGGCGGCCCGTCTGTCTCTGTGTTTGTGCCGTGTCGCGACAGGACGGCCTTCGACAGCAATGCCGGCGCGGCCTACGAGGTGCTGGGCGCCGGCGGCCGGCGGCGGAAGGCGGGCGTGGACGGGCGGCTGTACAGCGAGCTGCTGCGGCGCATCTGCCAGCATGGGGGAGCGCCGGCGGAGGCGGCGGCGGCGCTGCTGGGGCGAGTCCGCTGCCGTGACCACGAGGCCGTGCCTTTCGATGTCTTCCGCTACGGCGTCCTCACCTGCTTCGTGCTGCTGGAGTTCGCGGCCAAGGCGGACGCGCTCTTCGGCGTCCTGGACGGTGGCTCCGGTGCCGCTGACGGGAGGGTCTGCCAGGCCGTGCTGCGGGCGCTGGAGGATGCGCTGGGCACCGGCAACTTCTCTCTCCCCAGCCGCTACCTGGAGGCAGGCTCTAAGCTGGGGCCAGATGGCCTGGCCCTGGCCATGGACCGGGCGCTGCAGGAGAGGAAGCTTGGCACCTCCATGAGCAGGGATGAGTTCCTGAAGAAAGCCACTGCCTTGTTCATTGCAAGAGTGAAGCCCATTGAGTAATGCCCAGGCGGGAGCAACACTGTCTGCGTCCGCTTCGAACCCCTCAAGTGCCCTGCGCAGAGCCATTCATGCAAAGGAGGCTTCGGACCCCGGCACTGAGCTGGATGGCGAGCCGGGGGGGGCTGCTCAGGTGCTGTGTAGAGGGCCTGGGTCTGCCCAATGAGATTTTCCCCCTTTCCATGCTCCCTTCCTTGTTCCGAGTGCCACAGGTGCCCAGCCATCTCCAGCGCTGGATGTGTCCCTGTCCACTGTGCCTCTCCCAGCCACGGCTCCTCCGATCTAGCTGGCATTAGTAAATCTTTTCTAGGTGTTTAGTGGGGACTTGCAAGGAGGCCTGTAAACTGTAGGGCAGTGTTAGCCATTAAAAATGAGCCAGAATGAAGTGAATGTGGGCCTGGACCTCCAGATATCCTGCAATTTTGTTCTAGCCCTGGCAATGTCATGTTTTGCAGCTTCACGCTGACCTTTGTTTCTGCTTTTGGGTTTGTTTCACACCTATCTGTGAAGTGTGGGGCGATGCTCATCTACCTCACAGGCTGCTGTGAGGATTCGCAGGTAAATACGGGGCTGATCCACAGTGTGAGATCAAGTGTTATTTTATTAAGCAGAATGTTTTAAACACACAGCAGATGAGAAACAGCTGGCTGGGGAGCAAACCTCACTGGGAAGGGCTGCGAGCCAGAGGGGGTTCCGCCTCTCCCAGCAGCCGAGCTGTGGGGCGATGAGCTGTCCTTGCTGTCTGCTCGCTTGGTGTTTACCCAACTGCCTCTGGCCACTGTGGTCCGGACTCTGAAGATTGAGGCTCATACCTGCGTGATGACTTCTCAAGCGAAGCTGCAGAGTGCTACAGATTCAATAATGATTTGGGACATGGAGCGCTGGGTCAAGACAAGACAAACCCCCTTCCCTGAGGCTGTAGTTTGCTTTTGAACAGAGAAGCGTGTTGAACCATGTGTTATTTATTTGAACTTGGCGATGTTAGTTGTTTATACTGTGCAATTATTGGTTTACTGTAAGACATTAAAGCTTTTTATTATTTTTTTAGGGGCCAATTTTTTTACTGCCTGGCGGCACGTAGCGCCAGAATGAACTGCAGCAGCTCGCAGATCCGTCACGTAGTCTCTGTCTTCAGGGGCCAATGTCAGCAGCCTGTAGCAGCCTGCCCAGCTGAAGGCACGGGGGTGCAAAGCACTTGTAGTAGCTACCAAAAAAAAAAAAAAAAGAAGAGAAGCTGGGAGGATGCCTTTCATGCTCTGGGATGTTTGGTTGGTTTTTCTGAGCGGATGTTTTGATCCCTGCAGCCAGGAGGGGCACTACCTGGAGCTGGACTGGGTGAGGCTGCAGGCGGTGGCTCCTGAACGAGGTGCAGGTGACGGGATGTGACACAAGGGGAGGTGGGAACTGGTGATGCTGGGAGAGATCTTCTCTGCTGGGCCCGTGCCAGGAGCAGCCTCTGCTCGAATTCTAGATGCTGCCTTGTAAAATGCAGTAAAGTATTGCATAAGTGTAGTAATTGTGCTAAGTGCTTCCTCCTGGCTGACGGGTGTAATCATCTGGTGAAGCGTCAACCATTTACGCTGAACGCTGACCCAAAGGAGCACGGCTGTGTTGTGAGCACCAGGGCTGTCATCCGGGGTGGGATTTAGCGTCGGTCAGTGTGCTGAGGGTGTCCCGGAGCACCGGGGAGCCTCCCGCGGGCGGGGGGATCGGCGACCCCGGGGGCAGTGAGGCCTGCGTGGCCGCTCAGGCCCGAACGGGAAGAGGCCGATCTCTGAGGCAACCCTCGCGCGTGCGATAGGTTTGCTCGGCAGGAAAGCCGGCTGCGCTGGTGCAGGAGGCCAGAAGCACCGACGCACGCTGTGAATGCGGGACCGGGGCGGCGTCGCCACCATCGCAACACGGCTCCGGGACAGCGGCGACGCCTGAGGGAACGAACGCACGCCCGCCGCGCCGCAGGAGCTGCCGGGAAGGAGCCCCGCCCCCGAGCGGGGACGGTGCGCTGTGATAGGCGGACAGCGCCCGGGGGGAGGAGCCCGCTCGCTCTCCCGCCCGCCCACGCCGACGGCGAGCTCTGATAGGCGAGCGGGCCCGTATAGGAGGAGCCTGCGCCGGCCCCGCCCCGCGCGGGCGGACTACAGTTCCCGCCGTGCCCCGCGCGGCTGCGCTCGGAGCGGCCGCGGAGCAGCAAGAGCCGTCCCCGCTGTCCCCCCTTCCTGCAGCGGCTGTCGTGTCTACGCCAGTCCCCGGCTTCGCTCGCGGCCTACCCCGGCTCCTAGGCATGGCGCGGCCCCTCGTGCCCAGCTCGCAGAAGGCGCTGCTGCTGGAGCTGAAAGGGCTGCAGGAGGAGCCCGTGGAAGGGTTCCGGGTCAACCTGGTGGATGAGGGGGACCTCTACAACTGGGAGGTGGCCATCTTCGGCCCCCCGAACACCTACTATGAGGGCGGGTACTTCAAGGTGAGGGGCTGGGGGCAGCAGGGGGACGTGCGGGGTCGGTAGGACCGAGGTCTCGAGGAGGCGAAGCTCTGGTGGCGTGGGGGGGCTTGGTGTGTGAGTAGGGGGACCTGGGGGGCAGAGGTGTGTGGTGGGAGAAAGGGCTTAGGAGGGGCCAAGGCAGGGTAAGTGGTGTTGAGGGATGCACTGCGGGGAGGATGCCTTGGGAAGGAATATTGGAAGGCAGAGAGACTGCAGGAGGACAAGGAGACCCTGGGAGGGGGCTGTGGGGCGAGAGGGAAGGGGTCTTGGGTGTCGGATTGAGGTAGGTACTGGTGGAGCATGACGGGCTGCTCCTGGGCTCAAGGGGGTGATGAGGGCCAGGAAGACCTGGGTCTGTAGCTGGATACCTTGGGGTCAGTGGGGCTTCAGGACCTGGGGTATTTATTCCTGGGGTGCCTGCAAGGAGGAGCTGGAGTGAAGAAGGGAGCCTGTGTGCAGGTGGCTGCTGCCAAACTAGGAAAGGATTCCCTTTGTTGGAAGGGGGATTTGCACCCCCCCCAGGGGCTCTGCCTCTGCGGGCTTTTCCTCTTTCCTGCCCACTCCAGCCCCCAGTCTGTGGGTGCAGGAGAGTGAGCTCTGGGTTGCTGGTGTTCCTTCTCCTGGAGGGAATCCAGGGCATTGCCACCAAACCAGAGGGAAGAGATGAAGGACTCTCCCATGCAGGCACAGGTGGCTTAGGCCAAGCGAGCAGAAGCTCGAGCTGGGTGGGGAGCGGGTGTTGTGGTTTTGTTTGGGGTTTGAGGGGGGGAGAAGGCATGCATGGCCTGACTGCATGATCCCTATTGGGAGGATGTGTATCTGCTCTTCCCAGGTGTTGAGCAACTTGCGTAGCTGTTTTCTTCCTCTTTCTCATCCTCCCTCCTCCACTATGAGCTCTTCTGTCTTCATCCTGTTGCTGGCAGGGTGGGGATATACCCGGGGTGAGTCAGCCTGAGGGTCAGCTGTGCCTGAGAAGCTGGGTGGTTTGTTTTTTTTCTCCTGTGGAGCGGTGGCAGGCAAGTCTGATGCTTCAGAGTCAGATTTTTTTCTCTTCACTGAAACAGAGTCTTTTTCCATAGCCTGTTTTGGCACTAAGCCCTTTGAACTCTCACCCTTTCAGCAGCTCATGCTCCTGTTTTTTGCCTGAGAGCTTCCAAATTCAGCACTGTTGGGTGGCAGTAGATGAGACTTTCTGTGTAAGAGGAGAGTGAAGGGTCTAAGTCCTCTTCCAGCTCATGGTAACGGTTGGCCTGTTTGTGTACGGCAAAGTGGGGTTGCTTTCTGAGCCCCCTTTGGTATCGCTTTGCCTCTGGCTGGTTTTGTTCTGATCCCCTCTGGCACAACAAAGGAGATTATTCTGTGAAGTTCAGCTGTTTGGCCAGAGCCCAGCACAGGGCTGTGTGTTGATGTGTGTGTGTGCGTGCGCTGCCCTGGGCTGCCTGAAGCTCCATGCGCACACAAAACGTGTCCAGCCCCAGCCGCCACCTCGCTTTTCCTTCTTTCCACCTCTTGTCCTGTACAGCAGAGCACAGGATGGTCAAACAGAGGGCCAGCCTGGGAGGCAAGGTGGTAATGGGAGTAGGGATGGACATGCCGTGGTTGGGGGCTCCTTGGACTTGCCATCAGATCAACTTGTGCTGGGGACAGATCCTGCTGGGGTGGGAGGAGGTTGGAGAGCAGAGGCCTTGGAATCCAGGATGGAATCGGGGTTGGTCAGGGCAGCAGGGAGGAGGACAGATGTCTCTCTACCTTCTATGCTAATCTTTTAATGGCTGTTAGCTGACAACTAGTGTTGGCAGCATTGCCTGTTGTTGAGGCTGTAATTCCAGAAGCATCTGAAGCCTTGTTTGCAGTTACCCTCCTGAATGGGGCCTGCGCCGGGCTTGTTCCACGGGTGAACAGCAATCCCGGGTCACTGCCAGGCAGCGCCGGGGTAGTTCACAGTGTTGTTTCATGGATCCAACATCTAAATTCTTGCATATATGAACTGAGGGAGCAAGAAATGTTCAGGGAGTAGTTGTGTGTTTTAAATCTTTACCATTTTGTTTGTTTCTGGCTGTTGGCTTTTTTGGGAGCAGTGGCTGAATCTGGAAGTTTGCTTCCAGAGCCTGGAAACACCTGAAAGCTGAAACAGTCACTGCAGGTAGTGTAGCAACACAGGGAGAAGCTGCCCCCATCCTCGTGGGATGCCTAGTGCTGGTGGGCTGGGGCAGCAGCTCTCTGGGGAGGATGGGGATGTTGCTGTACATCTCTGTGTCACCTCAGGCTTTGCCTTCTCACTTGGAGGCTGACAGTGAGCCTGTCTTTTTGGCCTACCTTAATACCTTGTTTTTTGTGGCCATTGACCGCAGGAGAAGCCAGTGGTTGTCTCTCCTGGCTCTGAAGTTGTGGACTGCGGCGTGATCTTCATGTGCTTTTATTTTTAGCACCTGAGCTACGCACTGTGGTTGGTTTTGACTTGGGCTATTTTTGGAGATTCAGTGTGTTAATCAGAGCACTGAGCACCTGATGCTTCCTTCCCTGTGAGCTCTGAGGGGTGAACCCCTTTCCTCTGGTGGCGTGGCCATTGTGTGTCCCTGACAGCAGGACTGGGGATGACCCCAGACTTGCAGTCTGGCTCTGAGTGCCACTCTGTTTGTTTAGGCATGCGGCTCAAGCTGGGACCACAAGGCCCTTGCCCCACCGCTGTTTGCCATCCAGAAGCAGCCTGCCCTTGGTGTCATCACCCTGTGCTGTGGGTGCTGCTGTGGGAAGGGGCAGTGAGTGTGCAAGGCACGTGCCGGACTGGCACTGCGAGCTCCCACTGTGCTCTGCCTGGGGGCTGCTGCCTCCCTCCATGTCGGAGAGCACTGGGTTAGCACAGGTGGACCCCAGTGGAGAAGAGGTTATGGGGCAGGATGGTGGTGAAGGAGCTGCTGCAGCTCGCAGGCTCATCCACTCGCTTTCCTCTGTGTGGTGGCAGGGCAGCCATGCTGCCGGTGTCCTGCCTGCAGACAGGCAGGCGCGGAGGCCCTGTCTCTGCAGGAGCACAGCTGGACTTGGCAGAGGTTCCTTTTTCCTGGTGGTGTCAGGAGATCTGTGGTTTCCTTCCCTTCCTTCACAAGCTGATGCTCACTTCTCCTTATTGTTTACTTGCAGGCTCGTCTCCGGTTTCCCATCGACTACCCCTATTCTCCTCCTGCCTTTAGGTTCTTAACCAAAATGTGGCACCCCAATATCTATGAGGTAGGTCGCCTGGGACAGCGTGGGGTGTCTTGGACATGCAGGGATGAAAATGCCAGCCTTTGTCTGGCATTGGAGCATGGCATTGGAAACTCAGTGCCTTTGGCATTTAGTGCCTGGCACTGGAAATGCGACTAACGAGCTTATGACAGCCGGTCTCCTGTCCTGGAGCTGGTTCCAGGTCAGCCAGGCTTTCCAGGCTTGAAGGCTCCTATGCTTGGCTAGCAGGGACGTTGTGCTTCTGCCAAGGGTGGATGCAGAGTGAGCGATGTGCGTGGCCCCAAGGCTGCGTGCTTGTGGTGGATTGCTGCCTGGGGGTGTGTGGGGTTGGGCTGTGTCAGATGGGAACCAGGAAGGCTGTGCTGCGGATGCAATGTGTTCGGGCATCGGACAGCGTGTGATTAGGCAGCCTCATCTGTACTGTGCTGGCAATCATGGGGTACTTATCCAAGGCCTGAGGCTGCAGGCAGCGTAGCGGGGACCACCACTTCTGCTGTCCCTTCCTATGGACTGAAAGAACAGGCTGGGATTGCCTCACCTGGCTTAAGCCAAAGTGAAGAGCAAGCAGGCTACTGGAACAGAGGACTGAGCTGCTGCTGGAGAGTGCTTGGGGCAGCAGCTCCTAAGGATCCCGTTTCACTTGTGCTTTCAGACCGGCGATGTCTGCATCTCCATCCTCCACCCACCGGTGGATGACCCGCAGAGTGGGGAGCTGCCATCTGAGCGGTGGAACCCCACACAGAACGTGCGGTAAGGGCTGCATGGGGAGGGACCTGCAGGCAGGAGGCTCATCGAGGGCAGGGATGGGAAAGCAGGGAGATGGGGACTGCCTTCTGCTCCCAAAGCCTGCGGGAGATGCCTAGAGGTTGTTGAAAGGCACTTAGGTGGTGTGCTTTGCTGAAGAATGGCTAGAGCTTGCATGGGAACGTGCGTGAGCCTGACAGCCCATGCATGGCTGTCTCCTGCCTGACCTGCTCGACTTTGCTGAGATACACCCTCACTGGTGGGCCTGCACCAGGCTCCCCTCCTGACCCACAGGATGCAGCGACGCTGTGACACTGAGGCTGCTGGCATTCCTGGGACCTGGGTGGTTGCTGACCCACCTCAGCTCTTACCAGCTTGTGTTTACTGATTGCCAGGACCATTCTCCTAAGTGTGATCTCGCTGCTGAATGAACCCAACACATTTTCTCCAGCCAATGTGGATGCCTCCGTGATGTACCGCAAGTGGAAGGAGAGCAAAGGGAAGGATCGGGAGTACACGGACATCATCAGGTGCGTGCTGAGCTGAGCCCAGACCCAGCAGCGCTGTGCCACTGTTGAGAACACTTCCTAAGCTGTGATCTTGTAGGACACAGATGATCTTGAGGCATGTCCTGCCCCCGTCAAGTCCCATCTGCAGGCTGGTAGGAGGGAAGGATTCTGGCTCCGAGTGTGGCTTTTGGGAGAAGCTTGGCTGGGTTATGTGCCCAGCTTTGCTCTCAGCCGAAGCCCTGGCCCTTTTTAGCCCCAGAGCTGAGGATCTGGGTTCGTAGCAGATGTGGTGCCAGCACGGCCTTGCTGGCAGGGCTGCCTCATGGGACCAGCATGTGAAGATCCTGAGCTGCAGACTGGCCAGCCCTGGCATGGCAAGGGGGGCTCTCGGAGCAGGGAGCATGCTGCAGTGCAGCCGTGTTTGCTCCATAGTGCTCTCCCTCCCCTGTCCTCCCACCAGTCTTGTGCGGGTGAGCGACCCATGAGCTGGGGTGTGAGAGGGGAAGGGCTGTGTCGCCCGGCATCTCCATGGGGTGAGCCGCATGTGGCAATGTGGGTGTGCTGTGCAAAGCTCCGTCCTCATCCCCCACTTCTCGCCCTCCAGGAAGCAAGTCTTGGGCACAAAGGTGGATGCTGAGCGGGATGGTGTGAAGGTCCCCACTACACTGGCAGAGTACTGTGTGAAGACCAAGACTCCAGCCCCAGATGAGGGCTCAGACCTCTTCTATGATGACTATTATGAGGATGATGAGATGGAGGAGGAAGCAGACAGCTGTTACGGTGATGAGGATGACTCTGGCAATGAGGAATCTTGATGGCCATCTGGCACTGCAAAACTTACTATAAACTACTGAATTTTACCTCAACTAGGACAAACTGGTTTGAATTTAGGATCTGTCAGCCCTGAAATTAACTCTCTACCTCGCAGGGAGACTGTTCTGCTGTTGCAAAGGAAATCCCACTGCTGTCTTTGTAGAAAAAGCAAAAAACAAAACCAAACCGTATTTTATAAACTTCCTGGGTGAGGGGCAGATGGGGAGGGGGGAGTCATGTTGGGGTGCTCACAAATCCACAAAAACCAGGGAGCTGGTGGCTCTGGCTGGACAAGGAGTGATGGCAAAACCTGGTGGTGGCTGCCCACTGTTTGGGCATGTAGAACTCCTCTTCAGCCCCACATGGGAGGAACGGTTTGGGGAGGCTGTGGAGCTGGTGAGTGGTTGCTTTGGGTGGGAAGTGTGTGAGCGTTGTGTGGCTTTCTTACAGCCTTTGAGGTGTCTGAGCAGGAAGGGCTGCAGAGTGAGCACTGCTTCTCTCTGCCCCCGGTGGGGCTGTCCCTGGTGGGACCTTCCTGCTGCCCCTTCCCGTGATGCCAGAGCTGTGTTTGCAGGGAGCAGGCCGGGACATCAGGCAGGATGTGCCTGGTGGCTGTCGGGCACTGCAGGGTGTGGGGATGAGCTCTTTGTAGTTTTTAACTGGCTGGGAGGGATGGGGTAGTTCTGAGTCTTTCTGCTTCTGGGTTTTGCTTTTTTTTTTTCTTTGTTTGTTTGGTTTTTTGTGAAACTGTTTAATAAAATACTTCAAGGGAACGGCTGTGTGGTGTGTGGGTGAGGCTCTGCTCTGGTCTGTGCCCAGGCTGCAGGGGTTTCTGTGTCAGCTGTGAACCAGCTCCTGCCCTGCTACCTGCAGCCCTGGCTGGGAGGGGCGAGTGGGCTAGCTGCTCTCCCAGGGCTGTGGCTGGGGGCTGCAGGGTGGTCTTGGGTCTCACAGTAAGCTTCTTCTCTCCCTCCCCAAACTCACATAGCAGGCAGGAGTGACTGGGCAGGGTTGCCTTTGGCCTGGAGAGCATCTCTGCCCTTCCTGGGGAGGGTGCAGTGCTCACCGCCTCTGCCCTGGAGCTGTGGCCAAGGCTCGGTCTCTGCCTGGGCAGAAGGGTGGGCTCTGCTGAGCCTGCAAAACCCTCCAGCACTGTGCTGGGAAGGTGTTTTTTGCCTCTGCTCCTCTGAAGGCGCTGAGCTCCTCTGAGAGCAACTGTGTGGTGCAGGCAGCAGACCTGCCTGGGCAGCACCTGGCTGTGCAGAGCTGTGGCCGACGGATGCCTGGGGGCTTCACCGCTGCTCTGATCTGGGTGTGCCCTGAGTCCACAGGCCAGGACTGGCTGGGACATGTGAGCTCTGGAGGTGGTGGTGAGCTCCCAGCTGCCTTGCTCCAGCCATGCAGCCGAGGGGCATTGCTGGTGCCTTGTCCTGCTGGGCTGGGGAGGTCAGCTCTGCTGCCAGCTCCTTGGGGCTATGGCAGGGACATGCTCCCTGGCAAACTGCCTTGCGTGGGGCTTTCCGTGACCCAACTGGGGCTCCTGCCCCTGCTCCCACCCCCCTGGGCAAAGCTTGTTGTGAGGGGTAATGAGCAAAACTTCCTGCTGCCTGGAGCTGCGCAAATGGGATCAGGGTTTGAGTGACACCTGCACTGCACGTGGCAAATGCATGTGCTTTGTTGCCTTAGGAAATGAGGCTAAAAGGTGAATAGGATTATTGTCACTTTATTCAGGCCTGACAAATGGCTTCCTGGGTGGAGGATGCTGTGGGCTGCCATACTCTGCCCAGTTTCTGCCCCGCAGGAGCCATAACTGCTGAATCCCTCCAGCGCAGGGGGGAGCATAGCAGCCGGTGGATGGGAAGGGGTGGCTGGGCAGGGCATGCCGGGGGCAGACATGGCGCTTGGGGGAAGAAATGCTCTGGGAGGATTCAGGAGCTTACAAGAGCTGGCAGATCCCCGCGGAGAGGGCGGCAGGGACTGGCACCGCCAGCCCCATTGTTTTGGCTCTTCCTGCCCCCCCGCCCAGCACCCCTGGCTGCAAGTGCTGCACCTCACTCCCAGGGCTGGGTTAGTCGCGAGTCGGCTCCCGGGACAGGGAAGAGCTGGGGACGGAGCTGCTGCCCCACAAGAGGCCCCTTTGCCCTGGCTGCCTCCTGTCCGAAGCACACGGCTGTGCTTGATTATCGCCCGCCCCAGCCCCTCGGGGTTATCGAGCAGCTTCAGCTGGGCTGGTGCTGGGGACTCGAGGCCCAGCATCCCCCTCGGCCTGGGCTGAGATCCGGGGACCAGGTGCTTTCCCCGCACTTCAGGGTACCCCCGACCCCGAGCTCCGGGGCCCTTGCCGAAGGCCGGAGGGGGCTGCGGGACAGGGCCCCGTGCAGCCGGCCAGGACCCCGGCGTGCAGGGCTGCCGGTTTGTCTTGGCACCGTCCCCGCTGTTGTTCACAGGAGCTATTGTCTCAGCCCCGCTCCCCGCGCCGAGGAAGCGCCGCCCGGTTCCCTTCCCACGAGTCCCACTGCGGTGTGGGGATGCGGCCCCGGCTCACCCCGAGCGCTGGGACCTCCACCACAGCCGTGGCAGAGCCGAGGCGGCTCCTGGCCCTGCTTGGGGGCCCCCCCCCCGGGCCGGGCCAGCCCCGCCGGCCGCCCCGTGCCCCGGCCC